TTTTTTTTTTTTTTTTTTTTTTGGGGGGGGGGGATAACAGAGAAAGCTCATTTTCTCATCGTTATCAACTGCCAAAGTAGTTTCTACTCTCGCCACCTGAAAAAAAACTAAGCCTCCAACCAAGAGTGGTTTACAACTTACAATTTCACCTACTAACAGATTTAAAACTTCCCTGCTCAAACCGGTACACGTCTACCCCGGTATTTGTCGAAGAACTGTAACAGAAAAAAAAAACACATAAATCTGCAGTCCAGAAGAATGCACGAATTCAAACAATCTAACAAAACTTTCTGGTCTGGACACCTGCAGATTAACTAGTCCATGAAAGTAAATACAAATGCAAACTAAGAATTTAGACTAGCATGATGTAAACTAAGATGTTATCATATAGCATTTGGTATCATTTCAGACACCAGGGAAAAACTGTTAGCCATGTTGAGACTCATCGAAACTTGGCTAGAACTTCATTATGATAAGGAAATAATATAACCTCTACCTTACATCATCACCTAAACATAAACTCCCCCCAGGGGTAGACATACACATATAACATCAACAAAACTCTCTCCTAACTACTCTTGGCGATTCACGGAAGGTATGACACTACCAATCTATGCTCCGATCAAAATTTGGGACTTATGAGATCCACTTGAAAACAAATTTTCAACCCAATAAATATGGTCTCCATTTAATCCAAGTCAACACTATGACTATTATTTTGTCCTCGTTAATTGCTTGTGCCTATATATTAGAGAAGGAAGAATCGGACTCAAGAAAAACACTGGTCTTTTGATCCAGCTTTAACAGTGCCTCAATGCTGACAACAATATTGATCATGGCTGTCTTCAGCTTCTCGTAAGCATCTCACCTTGCATCCTTCCATGAGATGCTGCTCTTCTTGAGTTGCCTCAACGACATGACAATTATGCCATGATTGGCTATGAATTTTCAATACTAGCTTGTTTTCCTAGTTGTTGGTAAGTCTCATGTTTTCCATCAATGATGTTACACAAAAAAATGCATCTGGCTCAGGACATAATGCACCAATCTTTAGTTTCTCTTATTTGTGTAATCTATTGACAATGAAACATTGTACTCCTTGACACAAGCATTTGGATCTCACATATATCAAAATCCCCAGCATCCAAACTTGTGTCTCAAATTACTGACCATCTGATCAGTCGCACTTCTAAACTAGCACTTGTAATGTAGACCTCGGGCATCCTCACAAATATTTCCAGGAATTGAAGCTTCTAATGATTGCCCTATTGTCTTTAGTTGCTTCACCCATGTTTTCATTGCCTTACCCAATGATTTATTCAACTCCTTCGTAACAGTAGTAAGTTTATGCTTAATAATGGTCTGATGCCAACAGTTTTCAACTCTACTACTTCTAGTCCCATCTCCATCTTTTTAATCAGACCATTCCTAAAACTTCACTGTTCTGACGACCTTACTTGAACTGGATTTGTCTATAGATTGTACAACTGTGTCCTTGAGTTCTAAGAATTTCACTTCATTGTTCTGATGCCAATATGATATAAACTAGAAAAAATTCCATACTGAAAACCCAAAGATACAAAGTTGAGGTCCTTTGAGAGACCACACTGCCCTCCCTACACTAGATTCCAAATTTCCACATACCTAATACCCCCACCTTACTCATCGCCTATAAATTCCCCCTCCCCCCAAATTTCTCTCATTCAACCACATTATTCCCGAACTCATCCTCCACCTATTAGCTTTGCGGCAGAGATAACCCGTGCAAATTTCCTACTATGCTTTTCTCACAATATATTATAATGTAACTCCAATGAAATAACGTGACTCCATATGAAACAATTAATATTAAAAAAGGCTCCATAAAGGGGAAACATAATCAGCAGATCAAAAGATCCAAACAACTGATTAAAAAAAAACTACTAAAAGAAGTATGAACCAACCGATCTGACATATGGTTGCTGAAATAACCATCCAAGAACTGGAATTTTCTGAAGAAAAACTGCCAATGTTGGCCAGAAGCCACTGCACAGTATAATTTATTAACATTCAGCACAGCCCAATATTAGAAAGACATATACAGACAAATTGAAATTGTAGCCACATGGTTCCAACAAACCTGAAAAGGACAACAAAACCATACGCTTCCAATATCATGCCAATGATTGGCCATCCTATGATAACAAAGAAGAACCCTAAACCAAAAGAAATTGTTCCCTGCACAATTAATGAATAGCATATTGTCATGAAGAAAAAAAAATGCATGCACGATAAAGGACGAGTATGAGGAAAAGAGTATCTATCTCTGGCACTGACCTTAAAATTTTGACGTTTCATAAAGAATTGCATGGTTGACTTGAGTCCAATGGTGAGAGTTACTCCTGAGAAGAACAGGATCTGATTCAGCGAATCAGAAAAGAGGTAGTGTTAAGAGTTTACATTGAAATGAAACAAGCATTATAAATCTTTTTACTTGGGTCAAGAAAAATATAAATTTTACACTTACATTTCCCATGGCAAGTAATCCCTTGTCAAAGAAGAATACAATTCCCAGGAATGAGAAAAATATCCCAAATCCTGTCAGTCCTAGGCCAATCTCTGCTCATTTGGAAATTTCCTCGTTAATGCCATTACAAATTAACAATTCCATTTAAGAAACAAAACAATTAGAAAAGACCACACAGCTTCACTCCTATATGCGTGAATATTGCCAAAGTAGACACGCAAAAATCAACTAAATACGTAGCATTGAAAATATGTGTGAAAGCAATCTATGACTTAATAGGATACAAATTTCTATAAATGGTGTCTAGCCACTAAACTTAGTTAAAGACCAAAAATTCCATTTCAACACATTTTCGGTTCCAAGAAAGCAAATACAGACGAGAAGCAACAATACTAGATTAAGTGATCAAAAACTCCATCGCATGGCCATTGGCAACGCCGGATTCACCATATTCAAACCTATGACCAACAGAACACTCATTCCAAACATTCTAATTACCAAACTACAAACAGAATAAAACGATAATACTGTAATAGTCAAGTGGCCTAAACCAATAGCTAATTACTTGAAAGGAGAAACCGATCCACTTCACAGGATAGTCCATCGGCAAGAAATAGTAAACTTACTCTTGCGGTCATTCATTTCAAAGGAAACCATATCTACTGACGATTGAAATTCACCTCCCAGCCTTCACTGCATAATTTCAAAACGAAATCAAGAAGAAACAGGCCGATCAGATCAGCAAAGCAACTTCAATCAACAAAAATCCTAGGGTTAGCGGAGCAAAAATTGAGAAAAGTCATACAAGATCCAGATGAAGTTCCATCAATCAATCAATCAACCAGAACAACAAATAAGAAGGTTTCGAGAACAAATCTAATAAAAACCTGGAACATAACAAAGAGAAAGAGATTTACATCAATTAAATCAGTATGAGCATAAGAGAAAGCAGCAAATTGCAGGCGATTATTGTTGTTATGCAAGGAAAACAGCGGAATTAAAGGAATACGAATGCATAACGAAGAGTTCAGAGTAATGAAAGGATAAAGCGAGAGGAACCTGAGAGTGCAGACAGGAATGGCTGAACTCAACACGAAGAGAAGAGCAATTCAGGGACGTGCCACTGGCTAGATGCATTCCGCTATTCCGCGCGCGCGCACACATATAGGTACCTAAATAACATAATTTTGGTTTAAAATGGACGAAAATAAAATCTATTTTTATTAAATTATTTATTAGATAATAAAATAATCGACAATTCAAAATCTTGTCTTATTTATTAAAATTTTAATTTAATTTAATTTTTTTTGTTAGGTATGATTTTGTAGACTTCCGCGAAAAGCTATATATATGAAAGTACGGACCGCCTCTCTCTCTCTCCTCCTCTCTCGAATACAAACCGGAACAGAGCTTCCAATTTCTTAGCTCTACATGGACTAATGGAAACCACACCCACTCTCTGCAGCTTTCCTCCATATCCATTCACTCCTCATCGCCATTACCGCCAACTCCGCTGCCGCATCTACTCGCCGGAGCCCCGACAACTCTTTACCACTCTCTCCTGCTTCAAACCACGCCGTCGGCCTCGCCAGAAAAACAAGCTCGCTAAGTTCCACACCATCCAATCACCCCTCGAATCCTCCTCTGACTCGAAGCTCCAAACTGTAATTGAAATTGATCAATTCACCGCCGAAGCCTCCTCTCTCGTTTACTTCGTCTACTACTACTCCCGTTCCCAATTTCGCCAGTTTCTGTCGTCTGGATTGGACGCTTTCCATGATTTGCGGACGTTGATTGCTTTCGATGACCAGAATCGCACATTGACCGTCTCTTGTCGGCGTTCCACTGTGGAATTCCTAGGTCAGTTGGTGCTATTCAGCTTCGTTGTGGTCTTTCTAGTTAGGGTTTTAATTGGGATCGGATCTCGTTTTCGTAACCAATTTAGTTATGGGTATACTTCTCCTGTGGTGAGGAGGGACCGCAGCCTCGGTGGACGAGAGGTTGTTGTTGGAACTGTGCGGGATAAAGCTGTGGCGAAGAAGAACAATCATTTTGGGATATTGGATAGTCCCCTATCCATGACGTCAATGGCTCTGACTGATGTTTCAGATGAAGTTTCGAGGAATGGGGCTTGGGTTGGAGATAGATTGCCAAAATGGTGGCCTCCGGCAGTTCCTAGACGGATTTCCACGGCGAATAGGCAGGAATATCAGATAGAAGCTGACAGATTAGTACGAGGTTAGTGCACAAAGAATTCTTATATGTACAACTTTCACATTGCCATTACGTTATACTCTTGATTGCAATTTGAAGCTGAACTTACCCTCTTGATTTCCAGCCCTCGTGGACAGTAGAATGAGTGGGCGGGATTTCATGGAGGATGATATTCTACATGTGAGTGCCGTTCTTTAACTATATTTGGCTAATTTTTTATACAGTAATTTGCTGGTAATACTGAGTTTACTTCCCTTTCATCTATGGTTTATCATGCCTCCTACAATGCAATTATTGAACATTCATGATTATTTTTGTGGCAAAAAAAGAAAATTGATTGAAAGACGAGATAAAAATGAAAACACTGAAATGAGCGGGGAGGACTTAACGTTTCTAACACCGAAACTAGAAAACACACGAAAAATAAAATAACAAATAGCAAGGGTAGACAACTAAGCAATCAACTTATCTGATATGATTTGCTTGGAATATGTAAAGAAACTGGATCAACTACTTTAGATTTGGCTTGCATAAGATTTGGCTAGATTACAGTATTGATTAACAAATGCTTTTATCATACAACTTGCGGTCATCGCTCGATACATCTCATCAGCTTTAATGAAATGATCTATATGAAGATGTCGAATAAGCATATCTATTGCATATTGAAAACTCATTTTATCTCTATTTGAGCAAATCAATATTTTAAAGCGATATTCCTTTCTCCAAATCATCTTTTTATTTTTTTCCTCCGTTGGTTTTGTTGGAAACTTTTCACTTGTGATTGACATTGTCATATTTTGCTGAAATTTTCATCATTAATAGCACTTGACCTTTTGCCATAGCTGATGCTTTTATGATTGCCTGCACTTTTCTTTTCCTGAATGGATGAGCAGTTGCGTCAAATATGCAGGATGTCTGGAGTAAAAGTGTCCTTCAACACAGAGAATATGCGTGATTCATTCTATCGAGCATCTGTTGACTCTGTTTTTAATATCTATAGCAGGTGAACTTTATACTGGTGCTCCTATAAATATTTGCTCTATAATATGAGGAATCATGCCAAATTTCAAATTCTAGTTCTGGATTTTATTAATGTGATCACACTGAAATCTTTGGTGTTCATATTATTGTATTTGTAACTTATTTAGGAATTTACAGGACTCCAATTAACCCTAACTCAGTTCTCATTAATGGTGAGAATGGTCCGAGTTTTCTTGCTGGACTCGCTGAGGACATTGGCATTCAGAATACTCGTGCTGCTAGGATAATTTCGGCTGCTGTTGCTGCTAGAATGCGTTCATGCTTTTTACAGGCCTGGGTAAGTATTTTTACAATTTCCACTGAATTCACTATATCAAATGCTTGTATCTCGTAATGCCTAGGGTAACTCTCACATTTTTGTTGCTAAAATCTTGCAATGAGAGAACTTACAAAGATGGAATTATGTGCAAGAATCTTGAAGAATTTTGGTTTATTTTTCTTTAGTCCAAGCTTATTTTTAACATGTTGGACAAAAACTTTAGGATGATCTGTTAGCACATGCTAACATATTTTGGGTTTGAACCGTGGCGAAGGCTTAGACAGTGTGTATATTTATATGTCTTAAATTTGGTAATTGATTCAAGAACCAGAGGTGTTGCTGAAGATCCTCCAGTTCCTTTCGTACCAAAGTAAAAAAGAAGAGCGGTTAAAAGCCACCCAAAGAGTTTTTGCATCACTTACCACGGAGAAACTTTCTGCTCTCTTCTTTGATGTGTTTCCCCTGTAATTTATATGATTTGTTATACCATAAAGAGGATGCACTGAGTTAATTACATCTTACTATAGGCTCTAGTGATGCAAGACAGACACTCTGAAGCAGATGCGGAGTTGTTGAAGATGTGTCACATTGTCCAGATATTTCCTCCCGACGAGTCGTCTGTATGTATTCTGAACCATCTTTGTAAACGGTTGTTTCTCAAATGTTCTTATGTTATCTTTGTTGATTCTCCAGCCTGAGATGGAGATGTTGACTCTAGGCTTGAAGAAACACTTGAAGGTAGAGCAGAGAGAATGTTTAATGAATATGTTCATTAGTGTTTGTGGTAAAGATAGTCATAAGACCGCTGCAGAAGCTCTTGGTTTGGTATGAAGCTCTTGGTTTGCGCCTGAAAATATTGGCGATTCATATTGTCAAATCCTTTGCGCCTGAAAATGTTCATACTTGTTTATTAGTACACTTCCTCCAAATGTTCATACTCCATCTACATTTTGATCAACTTTAGCATTATTCATTAATTGTCTCATCCATCCAATAATTAATTAATTAATGTGTTCTTTCTTCTCTTTCTGGGAAAAGAATCAATGTGTTATTTGAATCTTGAACCATTTTTAATAAATTATTTTCTAAATTGTTTGAAATGGGCTTTGTTTTTCCTAATTTTGTTTTGAAACTGCAAAATTGATCTAAGAAGCTTAAAAATTGGCTAGGAATACAATGTTTGAATGCAGGCCGACTACATCACAAAAAATCAAGTCTTAGAACGTTGTTTCTTACTTTTCAAACATCAATTATTGTGTTTACAGGTTTGTTGGAGCCCGCACTGTTGTTCTAGTTGTTTCGTTGGAGCCCAAACTGGTTAGGTGAGCTCAGTCTTCAAAGTCTAGGCACGTAAGATAATAAAAGGGTGTTGGATGGAGTTTATGTATGCTTAAATGCACACAAATTCTCTAAAATTGCAAACTTCAAGAATCCAAGAAGAGAAACATGGCGCAATCATTCCTGTTGAACTTTGCTGCAGAGGAAGTGCTGAAGGTTGTGGTGAAGCTGGTGGCAGAGCAGATCCGCCTGGCTGTGGGATTCAAGGAGGAACTCTCAAAGCTGAAGCACTCTTTACTCATGGCGCAAGCCATTCCAAGGGATTTTGAAAGAAGGAAGACAAACCTTGAATCCCTGGAGCTATGCACGAAGAATCTTTGGGATATCGTCTTCGAAGCCGATATTTTACTCGATGAACTCGCTTATGAAGATGTTCGACACAAAGTGGAAATAAAAAAATATGAGATGGTAAGTAATTTCTTTTCATCCTCCAAAAATCTCCTTGAGGGTTCCTCCTCATTTGAGATGTCTTACTCTAACATTCAATGAAGCTGAAATTGATCTTCACCAAATTTTTGAGGACTCATTTCTGGATGAAATTGGAGTTACCGGGAAGGAAGTTGAAGTTATTGGGAAGGAAATTGAAGTTATTGGGATGAAAATTGAAATATCAAATATAGTGGATAAGCTACTTGCGAGTCATGAAACTCTAGTTGTTTTATCCATTGTTGGCTCAGGTGGATCAGGAAAATCAACTCTGGTGAAGGAGGTTTTCCATCACGATATGATTAGGAAGAATTTCGATACAACTATATGGGTATGTGTGTCTCGCCCTTTTAAAATCAATCAAATTTTAAGAGCAATCGTGGGTTCCTTGAATCCTAAATTTGGTGGCTCGGACGAAAGGGAAGTCATTCTTCGGGAGCTACAAAATCGGTTGAGTGGCAAAAAGTATTTGCTTGTGCTTGATGATGTTTGGAACGAGGAACCCATTCTATGGAATGAGTTGAGGGCTTGTTTGCTAAACATCGGTCAAAAGGTTGGAAGTGATAAAGTTACATAAATTATGGAGACAAATTACCGACATCATTTGAGGCAGTTACCAGACGATCATTGTTGGTCTTTATTTGAAAAATGTGCTTTTGGAAGTGATTTACCAATAATTTCTGATGTCATTCGAGGACAACTTGTTAAAAAATTTGGTGGCATACCATTGGTTGTAAAAGTGTTGGGAGGAATGGTGTAAATCATACAAGAATGATGAGGAATTTCAATCAATTTTGAAACATCTTGTGAGAATTGAATCACGAAAGGAAGATCTTATTTCATCCACAATCCAATTAAGCGTCAATTGTCTACCATCTACCTCATTGAAACAATGTTTTGCCTACCGTTCAAATTTTCCACCAGACTTTCGCTTCTACAAGGAAGCACTTGTTCAGATGTGGATAGCACAAGGGTTTATTCAACTACCCAATGGAAGCACTACAACGATGGAGGATATTGGTGCGAGGTACTTCGATATTTTGTTGTCTCGCTCCTTGTTTCAAGATGTTGTCCGAGATAAGAGAGGAAAAATTGAACATTTTAAGATGCATGATCTAATATACGACATTGCATGTGCTATTCCAATGATCAAAATTTGAGAGGGGGCTTTGTAAGAGATGAAAATTCTCAAGGTGATGAAGTTCTTTCGATCCGTCGAAGAAGAAGAACCGTTTATTGTTGTGAAAATTTACCATTTGCTAATCAAGATAAGATCACTAACTTCATCTACTTGCACGTTTTGATTATTAATTTTGAGTTCATAACTGAACTCCGAGATGGAATCGTTAAATTGAAACAGTTGAGGTATCTTGACATTTCAGAGACGAGAATAAGTAAGCTCCCAAAATCTATTGTTTTGCTTTACAATCGGCAGACTTTGAAGCTTGGAAGGAAAACAAAGCTTCCTACAAAATTGAGAAAGTTGGTCAACTTAAGGCATTTAGAATTTAATGTTTTTGATTTACATAAGCAAATGCCTAAACGTTTAAGTCGAATGACTCAACTTCAAACGCTATCTGATTTTATAGTTGGGAGTAATGACAGATGTAAGATTGAGGAGCTTGGACTTTTAAAAGACCTTAAAGGTAAGTTAACCTTTTATATCTCGAGCGAGTCAAAAGTAAAGAGGAGGCCATGCAAATTTAGTAGAGAAGGAAAATATTTCTGATTTATATTTTGAATGGAGTATTCAAGGAGAAGGATGTGATGGCAGTGATTTGAATGTGTTGGAAGGGCTTCAACCATATAGAAACCTTCGAGCATTGGAGATTCGCGACTTTGCAGGTGATCTTCTTCCCAATAGTATTTTTGTTGAAAACTTGGTTGAGTTACAACTAAACAGTTGTAACAAATGTGAAACTTTACCGATGCTGGGACAGTTGTTCAAACTTGAGGTTCTTAGAGTTGGTTGGCTAAAATGTGTAAAAAGTATTGGAGACGAGTTTTATGGGAATTATGGCAACACTAGAACTTTATTTCCCAAATTGAAAACATTTCAAATTTCGCACATGGAGAGCTTAGAGCAGTGGGAAGAACTTGCTACTACTTCGATTTGTATAGCTTTTCCTCATCTCGAAAGTTTAACCATTCATTTTTGTCTCAAACTAACGAATATTTCAAACATTTTTACAACACATAGCCAGATGTTGGAAGCTGACACTAATAATGCAGGGCTAGTTTCAAGTTTTCAAAGTCCTCTAAATCTTCGATCTCTTCACATTTATGAATGTACACGTTTGACAAAGCTACCAAATTGATTAGAATGGTGTAGCTCACTCCAATATTTGTGGATATGCGACTTTGGTGATGACATTTCCCCTCCAAATTTGCAAAATATGCCAAACATGTCTACATTAAAAATCGGAAAGTTGGATAGTTTGCTAGAGGGGCTTGGCAATATTCAACACTTATTGTCCTTATGTGAGTGCGGAAATTTGAAAAACTTGCCCTCAAAAGAAGCAATGTCAAATCTAACCCAATTGAATCACTGTTCTCAGCTTGAAGTCGGTGAAGGTGGTGTTGAACGGGAAAAAGTTTCTCATGTACCCAAAGTCCGTATATCCTAGAACAACTATTTTATGCTTGTTTCTTTTGATTATAATATTTTTATTAGTTGTAATGGTTGTATTTGAGGAATTGTATTTGATTAGTTACTAGGGCTTTGTTGGTTCAACAATTTTGTTACTCTCCTTCCTCTCACTCTTCGCCCTTTCCCTTTTGGGATCCTCTTCCTTTGTCGCCTCCTGGAATCAACAAGATGACTCCCCTTGTTCTTGGAACTTCATTAAATACAAATGAGATAATCTTAAAGGGTTACTACTGGACAGTTCAAACTCATCTCTTGCTAATGGAGTATGCTGCCAATGGAAGTCCTTCATACTCAACTCCATCAAACACCTTCATGATCGTGCTTGGGACAGCCAAAGGACTACAACATCTACACCACTCAATCTCAAGCCTACCAACATCTTGCTCATCTTTCTCCACCAAAACTTCAACTACAAGATCTCCGATTACGGGCTGGCAACCCTGCTAATAAAGCTCGGCAACCACATCGAGAACAACAGATTCCAAATGGTGTACATTGCCCCAGAACTAGCTCACCAGAGAACAAGGGTGAACGAGAAATGTGACGTACATGGGTTTGGGGTGATGATTCTGGAGATCGTGACAGGAAGAAGGCAAGTGGAGTATGGAGAAGACCATGTGAGCAGTTGCTTCTGCACCTTTGGAGGATTGATCTGAATTAACTTAACTTTGTAATTTCAAGTTGTCACAGATGATGAACAAATCGTAAGAAATTCACATCTATATTCCAACCTATTTTTTATTCTCCTCCAAAAACGCGAGCTAACCAACCAAAACTAACTTAACTGATTTCGATCCATAAAAAAAAATATATGATAACCATCACGTAGAGCTGTCCCTAATCCTTAGAGCACGTTTATGGAGCAAATCGAAACGATGATATTTGATTATATTAAAAATAGATTACAGCAACTCTACGACTCATATCAAAATAAAATCTCTTGTTAAACTCTTCCCAATTTCACATGCATAACAAAACAAAACAAAAAAATAATAGACGCTGCGAAGAGAATAGATCTTTAAAAGCGTCCAAAGTTAATTGTCATGCAAAGCCTTCATCAAATGAAGTCTGTTGAAACTCTGTCCCGCAACCCTGAAATTTTTCAATACACAAAATCATTATTCAACTCTCAGGGCATTGAACAAGAATATTAGGTTCTCCAAGATAATGATAAGAGGAGTGAATGAAATTATTCATTTTTGGACAATAAGATGGGTAGTAGTAGGTAGCATCATACCCATTGATTTGGTTGCAGTAGTTTCCTATTTGATTGGTTATGAGATAGCTATCCAAACGTGATGGCTCAGGGAGTGGTTTAAAGATGGGGTTCGCAGGATCCTCCTCAGGGAGAGGTTCTTCTCCTGCTGCCTTCCTCGCCATGTTCTCAGCCCTGCAGAACAGATTCCATAACTTCGTGAACATGCAATTTATGCTGATGTGCAAATGTATCTTACAACCGTTTTCGTAAAAACCCAAGTAACAATTCCCAACCATGATCATTGATGCAACAGAAATGCACACAAATATTAAAAAATATATGTTTTAAATGAGCTAAATGGATTCACCTTCTCTTCTGAAGCCATGCTTGCTGCTGAGCTTGCTGACGGGTAAGACTCCGATAATAGAATTGAAACTGGACAAGAATATTGAATTATATTGTGCCACAACCAATCATACAACAGAAACTAGAGAAAGGTTGAATTGTATAGTGCACATAACCATCATTAAAAAAAAAAAAAAAAAAAAAAAAAAAAAAAAAAAAAAAAAAAAAAAAAAAAAAAAAAAAAAAAAAAAAAAAAAAAAACAGAAACTTCAATAAAGGGCACGAACCTTCTGCTGCTCCACCGACAAATCATCCATACATTCAATCAGAAATTCCACATTCCTCTCCATAAATGGATTAGTTGAAAGTTGTAGGCGGTCATAATCACACTGAAATAGCAATGATGTTATCATTAAAGACGAAAACAGAAGATACAATCTAGATCACCTACTTTTAAGAAAAGTACCACAAATGATATTTTACCTGGGTTACTGGAGAGTCAGCTTCAAGCTCAGTCATAAAAGCACTAATGAGGGCTGAATTTGAAACTTTTATCTATAAAGACACGAGATAGGATAGAGATTTGGTTACATTGTCTACTCAGAAAGTTTGTCAACCTAAAATGACTTTTGAGCAATCATCAATAAGACAGCAACAGGGTCCAACAACGGATTGAGGAAAAAATAAGATAGAAACGAGATTTAAACCGCAGAAAAAACAACAAACAAAAAACATAACATAATCATTCGATCAACTTCTATAATAATGTTAAAAAAGTGAATAGATGCAGGCCGAAGTGACTTACAGGTATTTCCTCAAAAATATCAACCCATGAGAAATTCTTCTCCCTCAACCTGTTGAAGCAATACAAATAAATTTTAATAAGCAATTTTACTTAAAAGAATAAAGCAAAAGAATTACGTACTTCTCTCCTGTAAAGTTGTTACTGCGGTAAAGCTCCATAAAAGAATCTGAAAGCTTCAATGCCTTGAGAGCTAAGACGCCTTGATTAGACCTTGATGGGTCATAAATAATGCAGACACACCGCCTGATATTTTCCTGCAAAATTCTTACAGGTATTTCCTCAAAAATATCATCCCATGAATAGAGAAATCATTGCAAGAATTCTATAAAGAACAACATATAAATAAGAGAGTGACTAAACTAATACCTGATAATTCATAAAGGTCTCAATCAACTCTACAGTCTGATATGAACCTAAGAAGGTTGACTGGTACCTGAATATGATTAAATAAAATGTCAACCACTCCACATGAACAATGGGAATAAAGTAGTTTCAGTCTAAGTTCATTTTTCAATAAAGTAGTTTCAGTCTAAGTTCATTTTTCAATAAAGTCAACCAATACGGCCAAAGAGCTCCACCAACACAGCAGGGTGGGTGTATTAACATATCATCGAGGCCAAGGGACAGAACTCTTTCAGTATTGATGTAGCCAAAGGAACACCCATATGAAGCATTAACCTTACACTCATACATCCCAAACTCACAAAAAAAAAAAATGTTTGCATACAACCAAGACACTAGAGAATAGTTCTAATGACTAGTTGAAAGTCAGGTTTCAGGCATGGACCATAACCTCCAATAGTTGGACAAAAGTAAAATAGTACCAACTGCATACTATTCTATTTCAAAATCCAAAAAAAAAAAAAGAAAGTAGATGAGCAACAAAAAAGAAATTATAACGTATGGAGGGTAAAAAAATAAACCATATAGAAAACAAGTGAATGCATATGAACAGAACAAACATACATGCATATACACATTATTTGTACACTAATAATGCCAAGTCCACCATGTACATACACAATAACGTAAGCTTACCATCCAACAGTGTTATTGTCAACATTGACCTCTCTCAGACATCTCATCATTTCAAGCTGGTAATTAGCACCATCGGCTTCAATCTCCTCATCCTCCTCTCGTGTCTAACAAATACAAGTTAATAAATTAGAAGAGGTTTAAGAGTGTAACAAAATCCCTGAACCATAAAACAAAACACAAAACAAACTGCCTCCTCATACCGGGAAGGGAAAGCAATTAGTAACTTCAAGAACGCTACCAACATCTAATCCAAGAAGTTGCCCAGTCACAAGGGAGGGTGAAAACTCCTTGCAATGCTTGATTATCTTCAGTATAACCTGTAGAGTTGACACAAAAGGTTTTTACCTTGACATAGGGGTACAAGACCAGAATTCAAGAAAATAAAAAAAGTTCAAAACACTTGTCCTCACTAATTGCTCGCCCTATATAACAAACCAAAGCCTCAAATATAATCATTTTTCCTCCGGTAAGAATACAGCCGCGACAGGAATGTGGCAAAACCAAAAGTACAATAATTCTGAATCCTAATTGGAAGGCAAACTAATTATCAAATCGAAAATGGAAAATAGTGTTGTATAACGCTAAGCACTCCGTCGCAACCACTAAAAGAACCCAGTAACCTTCGAACAAACAATAAAGGATCCTCTCTATTTAGTTCAATCTAAACGAAACGCAAAACAAGAAAAAGAACAGGAAAAAATTACCAAGCCTTCAATCTGAACAACTCGGAGAGGGGAAGCCACCTCTTCCGTGACGGCGACCTGCAGAAAAGATCTAGCCATTGCTGCACCCCACAAACGCATTCATCAACAACGAAACAATCCCAGAATCGTACTTCCAAATCAAAATTCAAACGCACGAACGACAAGCAAGAGAATAAAAAGAGGCGTTATACATACTGTTTGCCATGATCAGCGATTCGCAAAGCTCGAGGATGATAGAAGAAAGAGCTGAATTGAATCGCAGAAGCGGCTTCGCGCGTCTTTCAGAGGTGCGAAAGTACGAGAGTTTATGAATAAACCCTACCAACGGAAGCACAGTCCGGTGATGGGCAAGAGAAGAAACAACTCCCACTGTGGGCCGAGTTTGGGTTAAATGGGCCGAATATATATATTGAAATCTTTAATTATGGGCCCAAATAAAAACAGAAAAATATCAAATTTAGGGCTCCCTTTTTTTTTTTTTTTTTTGCATTTAAAAATTTTACTAAGATTTAAATGTGTTTTGAGAAATTAAAGAGCTAAAAAAAGGAAAATAAAACGTTATTTACCTTCCGAGTAATTTTCATCCACTCATTTTTTAAAACCAAAACCATTAGTTTATTAGTTTAAATAGTTTTTATTTTATAAAATATACATTTTTAATATTATAATTAATAAAGTTTTTTAATGTCTTGAATTAAATTATGGGTTTAGTCGACTAAAACAAAAATACTATTAATGAATTAAATAATTCATCCACCAGCCATAGATTTTTTTATATAATTATATTATAAATTTGAATAATCACTTCTATTATTTTTTTTTTTTTTTTCATACTTGGTTTGGTTTTTTTTATCGTTGTTTGTGTCTCATTATGACTTACAGACTACCCAATTCAAACCATAAAAGTTGAGCTAGATCAATAAAAAATTCCAATCAATAACTATTTTCCCAAATTATAAAAGCATTCACGGTGTAAAAGGATGAATGAGACAAAAGTGAATAGAACAACTTTTGATGTTAGGTACCCTTTTTCCCACATTAAGGGAATAAGCAAATTGAATCGAGCTATGCAAATTTTTAACAAAATATCACGTGATAACTCGAACAACAATATGATATTAACTACTTTGTATAAAAGTTCTAGTAACATTGATTTTGGACTTCCAAACTGTCTCATTATTGACTTTGTTGTCACTCATAACAATCCTATCCTTGATCAAACTTCCACTCAACCCTCCCCTTATCGACCCTATTTATCCATTAGCTTGCACAAGCACGAGTCACGTTGTGGGATATTCTCTGATGGTGACAATCGCCTATTACATTATCTACCTCATTTCCTCGAGCAAAGATCTACTCTTCTTTCAAGAAGTCGTTGAGAGAGTTTTTTGAAATATGATGACTTTTTTGATACATGAAGCGGTGTGTAGTGGATTTGATGGTGGTGGAGCGACATTGATTAGAAATAACTATAGTTGTTAATTGCTATATGTTGGGTGACAAGGCCTGCAATTTGCAAATACATAATTCCACAAAATCCAAATCCTTCTTTGAAGCGCACCAATTTCCACAGATTCTTCTCCACTTTCCATTTCCCCAACCTCCTCAATCCTCATTTTGCCATCTCCTCCCACTCTCCATTGACAACCACCTCCGATTACAGTGCTCTAATGGCGGTAGCCTCCGCCACGACCCTCTTTTTCTCCCCATTTCCCACCTCTTCTAACCAACCCCACCATCGCCATCGCCGTCCCGATGCTTTTACCCTCCGACCCTCTTCAATTTCCACCCCCAATTTCCTTCCCCAACTTTCCTTTTCCCTCAATTCCTCACCGATTCCCCGCCGCCGTCGATTTTCGGCTGAGGCTTCTATTGGAGACAGCGAGAGTGGCGGTTCGACCTCTACCTCGGATGACGACGGCCTTGTCGGCGAGGACGCTGCTGTTTTTAATCTTTCCGAGCAGAAATTGGCGTCGTGGGTTTATTTCACTGTGATTTTGGGGGTTGTTCTGTTCGTGTTGAATGTTGTTTGGATTGATAATTCTGCTGGGGGAGTTGGGAAGGCCTTTGTGGATGCTGTTTCTGGACTTTCGGATAGTCACGAGGTACCCTTCTATATCATTTCTTTAGCTTGATTTCCATTTTGGAGTATTAGAACATGCTGAAGACTGTATAGGAATAATTCCATTGCTAGACTTGCTGGATTGCTGGACAATATCATTTCGTTGTTCTTTTTCTTTAACATGCTGAAGATTGGTTTTGGTTGAAGCTAATGGGTGTTTATAGCTGGATGAAATGGCTTCCAATTTACTAAATTCCATTGCTAACTGATGTTTAAATTTGGTGATTTTGGTGTATAAAAGATGAAACTAGAACTTTGGAACAATTGCATAAACCATCCCTAAACTATGGAGTTTCTAACAATCATACCCTTTAACTTTGAAGTGTTGTAATCGATCCGTATACTTTGTTAAGTGTAGCAATCAGCCCTTCGGATTTAACAAGAGACCTTAAGTCAAGAGGCATTCGGGAAGCGACTAGTCGCTTCTAGCAGCACTTCTATGAGGCTGACTACTACATAAATAAAGAGATCCTTCTATGATTGCAGCACTAACTACTGGAGTGAGTGATCGAACTAAAAGTTCAGGAGTGTGATTGGAACGCTTAGCAAAGTTAAAGGGGCGGATTGATCTTAAAAGTTCAAAGGTGTAATGGTAACAAGTCCTATAGTCGAGGGGCGGCTTGTGCGATTTTCCCCGAAACTTTCAAGATGAAAATCTTACCATCGACCGGGGGCGGATGAACTGAGCATATGTCGTGCATGGCCTTGCTAAATGTCTGAATCTCAGTCTTGGAACTTTGTTATGCAGGTTGTGATGTTGGCCCTTATTTTCATTTTTGCTGTTGTCCACAGTGGTTTGGCTAGTCTCCGAGATCAGGGCGAGAAGCTCGTTGGAGAACGAGCTTTTCGGGTTCTGTTTGCAGGAGTTTCTCTTCCATTGGCTGTCAGCACTGTGGTAGGTTCCTTCCCTCTACTTTTCCCTTTATCTTCTCTGACTGCACAGCCCCATATTGACTTGTTTACACTAAGGAGTTGTATTCAGGTGTACTTCATTAACCATCGATATGACGGGGTACAGTTATGGCAGCTCCACAGCATTCCCGGATTGCATCAACTCGTGTGGCTCAGTTCGTTTATCTCCTTCTTCTTCCTATATCCTTCTACTTTTAATCTGCTAGAGGTCGCTGCAGTCGATAAACCGAAAATGCACCTTTGGGAAACAGGCATCATGAGAATAACTAGGCATCCACAGGTATGTTTATGTTTCATTATCTTGAATGTTCATCGCATTTCATGACAGTATCAGGGTTTCTTTACTGTTTATTTGATTGCTTCGGCTTGAACCGTTGATGAACGTCGTCATTGGCATGTTAGATAAGTTTTCTTATGTCAAGTATATTCGGTTAGCTGCTGTAAAGAGCTCGAGTATGAAAGCTTAGCGACCAAAATAGAAATCAAACTAAACTATTTTCCCGTAAAAGTCATGTTTAATCTTACGGAACAAATTCGTTTGAAGATTTGAAACAAGAAGATGGGAGACGAAATGGATTTCATGTGTAACGGCTCAAGCCTACTGCTAGTAGATATTGTCCTCTTTGGGCTTTTCCTCAAGGTTTTTAAAACACGTCTACTAGGGAGAGGTTTCCACACCCTTTTAAAGAATACTTCGTTCTCCTCCCCAACCGATGTGGGATCTCACGATCTACTCCCCTTCGGGGCTCAGCTCCTTGCTGGCACTCGTTCCCTTCTCCAATCAATGTGGGACCCCTTAATCTAGCGTCCTTGCTGGCACAACCACCCCGTGTCTGGCTTTGATACCATTTGTAGCTGCCCAAGTCTACCGTTAGAAGATATTGTCCTCTTTGGGCTTTCCATCAAGATTTTAAAACGTGTCAATTAGGGAGAGGTTTCCGCACTCTTATAAAGAATGCTTCGTTCAATTAGATCTCATATTGTGAATATCTGTTTCAAGATCAGATATTCACGAGGGGAGAGGACAAACACCACATTTTTATAAACACTGATCATAACAAATCTTGGTTTCTGTTTGAAGATGGTTGGACAGGTGATCTGGTGCCTTGCTCACACAGTCTGGATTGGGAACTCAGTTGCAGTAGCAGCTTCCATTGGGTTGATAGGACATCATCTGTTCGGGGTATGGAACGGGGACAGGAGGCTAGCAAAGCGATACGGGGCAGATTTTGAAGCAGTGAAAAGGCGAACGAGCGTCGTTCCATTTGCTGCCATTCTGGATGGTCGTCAAAAGTTACCCGACGACTACTACAAGGAGTTCATTCGCTTGCCATATCTATCAATCACTGCACTGACCATAGGTGCCTACCTTGCCCACCCTCTCATGCAAGCTGCAAGCTTCAGGCTTCATTGGTAGACTTTATTTCTATGCAGCCGACTCTCTTGTATTAGAACTTTACATCACTGTATAAACTAAGGCACCAATGGTAGAGAAATTTGATCCCTTAGTTATAGCCTTATTTATTATATAATTACAAATATAGCAGTTTTAAATGAATAAAACAAGCTCCTTTTCAAATTATTAAAAAATAATAATAGTAATAAAAGTGTTTAAAATACCATTTGATTACATTTTCGTTTTTATATTTTAAATGTTTTAATTTTTAATAATTCTTAAAATTAGTCTCTATAAAACTAAAATAGACATGATTTTACTGTCATAAAATACTTTTTTTTTTTAATTATTATTATTATTATTATTTATTTATTTATTTTTATTTATTTTTATTTATTTATTTTGAAACAATTTAGCTACTTCCTATGAATTTTCACTTTTTAGTTTTTTCTAGAAATTTTAAAACTAGTTTTAGGAATGAATGCTTAGTTCCGTACATTGATCTCACAATCCACTCTCGCCGGAGTCCAGTGTCTCCACTTTCTCCTAGGTCAATCCACTTTCCCCTGGGTCCAGCGTCTCCCCTAGGTCTCCACTCTCCCCTGGGTCAATCCACTCTCCCCCTGGGTCCAGTGTCTAGCACTCGTCTATGTTAGGCCACTCTCCCCCTCGGTCAATCCACTCTTCCCCTAGGTCTCCACTCTCCCTTGGGTCAATCCACTCTCCCCCTAGGTCTAGTGTCTAGCACACGTCTCTCCTCTGAGTCAATCCGTCAATCCACTCTCTCCTGTTCCAGTGTCTCCCCTAGATCTCCACTCTCCCCTTGGGTTCAGTGTCTAGCACACGTCTATGTTAGGAAGAATTTTCACATTAATGGTAATTAAATTAATAATTCTAAGATCAATTGCTTTTTTTTTCCGCTTTTTTGAAGCGGAAATTTTGGCATCGTTTTTTTTTTTATTTTTTATTTATTTCTAATTGTTATAAATTTTAATGTAAAGTTAAAATAAAAATAGAAAAGGAAAGAGAGAGAAAGAAGGAAATGGAAGCGTCAGCACACGCTCTGTCCTTTGCCCCAAACTGACACTGAACTGAACCACGCAGTGTCAGTACTCACTAATTCCTTCTTCATTCTCACCCTCTCCCTTCTTCCCGCCGATCGATCAACCGCTTCTGCCGGCGACCTTCTTCCCCTTCATTTTCCGTCACCCATGGCCCAGACCTTCCGGATTCTCCCACCCATTTCTCCATCATGCGCCCTCTGATCTAGGGTTTCCTCCCTTTTCCACTCTTCTCCGTTTCCTGGTAAGCGACTTCATTCATTCCTTTCTTTTCTCCTTTTCTACACAATGCCTTACTCTCTGCCAACATAAATGCTGCACATGTTCGTAACGCTCTTGTGGAAGTGAGTTTTCGAGTCTAAATCGTCATTGGGTCTCGATTTACTATGCCCAATTTGGCAGAATGTTATCTTGTTTTGTCTTTTTTGTGCTTTCATGTCATTTCCCTATATATTTTGGCACAATGTGCGTCTGTTGGTGGGTGGGAAACGTTGATGCCTTGAAAGTTTTTGAAATGTTTCTTCATTTCTTGCAATTTTTGATGGGTTATTGACATAGAACAACGACGGTCTTGATATTTGGGGATCTTCTGTGTATAATTCCTTCATATAGTTTGGTGTTTACTCTGATTGAAGATTGGCTAAATACTTCCTGTAGGAGAGTAATGGACTGCCAATCCAATCACACATTTGATTCAGATGAAAGTGACATTGATATCCAGGCCGAAATCTATGAGAAGGGTGGGAGTATAGATGATATTCATAAGGACTTGGACTTTTGTCTGCGTGAAGATGATAAGGTAGCAGAGCAATCTGTTGTGGATTTACCTATGGATGGAGCAGAACCATACATAGGCATGGAGTTTGGTTCTAGAGATGAAGCTAGAGAATTCTATGTTAATTATGGTAGGCACGTCGGATTCACTGTTCGAATACATCATAATCGACGTTCCCGTGTCAACAATCAGGTGATTGGTCAGGATTTTGTCTGTTCAAAAGAAGGATTCCGAGCTAAGAAGTATGTATCCAGAAAAGATAGGATACTTCCAGCCCCACCTATTACACGAGAGGGATGTCAAGCAATGATAAGATTAGCTTTAAGGGATGGAGGGAAGTGGGCTGTCACAAAATTTGTTAAAGATCATAATCATCTCTTGCTGAGTCCTAGTAAAGTTCCATGGCGAGGATCTGGAAAAAACTTGCTCACTGAGGTATGTTTGAGACTTGTTTTGTTCTTTTTTACATAATTAATATGCTACCCATATGCATTTCTATAGACAATGTCCATACTTGTCATAGTTCATGGTTTTCTATAGACAATATCAGGCTTGCTTTGTCAGATTGCATCAGAATACTTTTCAATCATCAAACTCTAGTGTCGAGTTTTTGGTTTGATAATTTCTGTTCATGTTGAAAGAAGAGGGATGTTCTCTTTTAAGCCAATGTGTCATAGCCTAAGCCCACCGCTAGTAGATATTGTTCGTTTTGACCCCTCACATATCACCGTCAACCTCATGGTTTTAAAATGCGTATACTAGGGAGAGGTTTCCATACCCTTATGAAAAACGATTTGTTCCCTTCTCCAACTGATATGGGCTCTCACAATCCACCCCTATTTGAGGCCTAGCGTCTTCGCTGACATTCATTCACTTCTCCAACCGATGTGAGATCCCACAATCCACCTCCCCTTTGGGGTTTAGCATCCTCACTGGCACACCACCTGATGTCTAGCTCTTATACCATTTGTAACAACCCAAGCCCACCGCTAGCAGATATTATTTGCTTTGGCTCCTTATGTATCGTCGTCAGCCTCACGATTTTAAAACGTGTCTTCTTGGGAGAGGTTTCCACTCCCTTATAAAAAATGATTTGTTCCCCTCTCTAACCGATATGGGATCACACAATGTATGGTGCATTTCTTTTAGTTCTTACTCATTTTCTCCATCATGCTTGATGGGGTACCATGAATTGGATTTTCTTTCTGAAATTTACTTGTTGTCAAGGCTATTACGACTGCACGACGTAGAACGAACAATTACCATTCTAGTTTGTGTTCTTTTCGCCTCAACTGGTGAGTTTATGCAATCATCAACTTTTTGGTGGGTGTACTACAATATAGCCATGGTCGTCCGTGGGCAATTGTATTCGGAAATATCAAGTTTAGTCAAAAGAAATAGGTGATAGATAGCATTCCATCTTCAGTTTAAATGGTTTTCATTTTCTTCATATCTGGAATTCTTATTCGAAATCTATCAAATTTGTTGCATTTACAACCACACATTATTGAAGCCTGTAGCTTTGATCATTTTTCGGATACATGAACTCATTTGAGTTGATAAGTTGGCATCGGGGGTGCGTTCGTTTTGTTTTGCAGGATGAGAAGGATAAGAGGATTCGAGAATTGTCGCTCGAGTTGTACAATGAGAAGCAGAAATGTAAGAGAAAATGTGCAGCATATGAAGAACAATTGAAAGCAGTCTTGAAGGAGTTGGAAATGCACACAGAATGTATATCAAACAAAGTTGCAGAAGTAATGAAGAGCATTAGAGAAGTTGAAGATGAAGAACACTCGGGAGGTTTGAATCAAGGTTGGGTTTAGATTGTCACAAACTGCACTAACTTATTTTAGATGGGATAATGACTTTGAAGCTTTCATTTTTTTTGTTCAAGGAGCCAAATGTTAACTCACATATTGTAGATGGATATTGACTTCTTTGAGGAGCATTTCAGTGTATAAAGTATTTATCCTGGTTGGAATGACACTTGGCATTTGAAAACTTATCCGACCTGGCATGCAGTCAAAATTTTGGTAGATAGGGATCCCGTAAAAACTTCTTTTGAGAAATGGGCCAGACTGGGTCATTTCTCGAGAACAATAGCTACTCATTTCTCGAGAACAATAGTTAAGGGTCATGATGCTACCACTTAGATTTAGATGGGTCATTTCTCGAGAATAATAGCTAGTCATTTCTCGAGAACAATAGTTAAGGGTCATGATGCTACCGCATGGATTTGGAACCTTAATGTTGGATTTGGAACTTTAATGTTGATACTCATTTTTTTCTTTTTTATCCAATGCTGAATCGATGACCTATGTTATGTATTAAGTCACCCTTACTGCCACTCGACAGAACCGTACATGAGATTTTCACCTCATACGGCTCCTCGTTCAATTCTTTCGAAGTCATTGGATCCTTTTCCTCGTTCGAGAATCTCCTCCCCTCTTCCATTCCGTCCCGAAGAGTGACCGGGACCAATTCAGTCACGTTTTCATTCATTTAGAATCTGGGCTCTTCTACGTCATTTTTATTTACTTATTTTTCCCTCTCTTTTTTTTTTTTCTTTTTTTATTCCCTTCGATCATTCCTTAAGTCCCATAGGTTTGATCCTGTAGAATCTGACCCATTTTTTCATTGAGCGAAAGGTACGAAATAAATCAGATTGATTTTTCGATCAAAAGTACTATGTGAAATCTTTGTTTTTTTCCTCTTTCTCTATTCCTATCCCGTTTCCTCTTTCTCTATTCCTATCCCGCTGGTACAATATTTGAATCAATAGAGAACCTGGGCGGTCCGAGGGGGACCACCTCGGCTCCTCTCTTCTGGAGATGGTTCTTATGAGGAGATATCTCTACTTGGCATTCAGGTGGCTTTTGCCATATGACTTGGTTTCGTCTATAATTTGGTTCGTTTCGGTCTGTGATGGGGTTGTTTTCGATGTTTGATTGTTTAGATAACACAAGTTAATAATAATAATAATAATAAAAAAAAAGAATAACACAAAAAAATCATTCTTACTAAGTTGAAAAAAGAAATTAATAAAAAAAACATAATAACATTCTGTTGGTGCCCCGACCCGACCCGACAATCCACGCCATGGGTTTCTTCTCCCCTCCCCCGCCCCCACAACAAATTTCAAAATTACATGTATTAGAAAAGAAAAAAGAAAATATATATTCATATATATAACCTGAATACGTGTCAGAAGACAATTGGCTAAAGTAAAGCCAATGTATAATGAACACGTGTGATCACAAACAATCCATGCAACCTGTGATGATCAAATCCCTGTTCTTCGTTATTTTTCATGATGATCATCATCTTCAAGGTTGTATATACAGAACTCTAATGGAAAAACAGCCTCTCTCTCTCTCTCTCTCTCTTTCTCTCTCATTGGTTTTTATTTGTTTTAGTTTAAGTTTTCATGTGATTAAGTGAGAAAGATGATCAACCTAATGCACTAAATCCACCTCCCTTCATCATTTGCTTGAACTCCTTGTAATTGACCATTCCATCTCCATCGACATCCACCTTCATGATCATCTTCTTGCAATCCTCAACAGTTCTCCCTTGCTTAAGCCCCAAGGAAGCTAGAACTGACCTCAATTCCTCGACGGTGATGAATCCATCGCCGTTCTGGTCAAAGACGTTGAACGCTTCTCTCATGTCCTCCTCCTCGTCTTTCTCGTTCATAATCGACTGGTACAGCTCTCCGAACTCGTCAATGTCCACGTATCCATCGTTATTAACGTCAATTTTCTCGATCATTTGAGTCAGATCTTTGTCCGGGATGAAAATCCCCAAATTCTCCAACGAGTCGTTTAGTTCCTTCTTCGTGATTTGCCCGTCGCCATTGCGATCGAACATCTGGAATACTCTTCGTAGTTCCGTCGGATCCATGGATTAAAACAGAGATAAACGATTGGATTGTGGAGATCTCAACCGGCGACGGGAAGATAATAAGAGATTAACAGAGGAAAGAAAAAGAACGAAAATTTTATGCTAAAGAGAGGGATGGATGGATGATGAAGGTGAGGAGGATGATTGTGGAATTTGATTGTTGGTTTCAGGGAAGAGAAACAGAGAGGAGGAATTAATGTGGAAATGGAGAACGTAAGAAGGGAAAAATCCAGGGAGAAAATGGCTGGAAAAATGGTAGGAAAGAAACTGTATGCGGTGGAGCCTGTTTGGTTGCCGAGAAAATTCAGCAGAGAAATTAGGGTTTGTAACGAACAGAAGGAAGAAGACGAACCAACGGCTTCAATGCCAAGCGAGTTCTTCACGATTTATTTTACTATTTTTTTTTTTTTTTTTGCGAATTTATTAACGATCTTATTGAATTTTAGGTATTTATTGTGTTTCGTTGGAGTGTTAATGTCTTTATATAATTTTTTTTTTTTTTTTTTTAGAAATAATGTTTTAAAAAATGACGAAAAAAGAGTTCGGTTCAAAATAGAAATAAATAGAAACCGGTTTTAAAGTTCTTAAGCCACTCCTTAATCGACTCTTCGCAGTGTAAGAGTTCGAATCCATCGTTTACTCTCTGCTTGCTTCCTCCCGCAATCTCCAACCAGGTACGCTAAATCTTCTTTTTCGTTTCTCAATTTCTACGATTTCTTTTTCCTTTTCTTCTCTGTTTCAATTAGTAATCTCTCTCTGGTTTGCCGCTGGAAATTCGTAGATCAAGAATTTTGAGTATATCATTTTCATTTTGAAGAAATTTTACTTAGTGCGTGTTTCGACTGAGAAGACAACCTGTTCATTAGATTTCGAATTTTGTTGTTTCTCCACTTTCTCGGTAGCCAAACAGATTTGTGATTATGAATGATGATATTGTGGAGTTTTGAGTTTCTGAAGTTGAATGTATAATGAGTTTAGTTTGGCTTTCTGGAATTTGTTTTGTTCTTCAAGCCTCGCTGACTAGAAGAGTGTAAGATTTTTCTTCTTGAGTTTGTTAATTGGCTGAAGGTACCAACTAGCCCTAACTCACCAAGTTCACATCTGAGGTCTTTAATTTGTGTGGAATCGTTGAGCTTCTCTGCAGATTCATATTCATGTGTCGTGTAATGAGATTAGAAATGAAACTTGTACCAAATTGCCTAAGATTTGGATCATTTTGCGATGGTGGATGTGAGTAGGAGTTCTGTAACCTGCAGTTGTTTAGAATTCTTCCTGTGAGCTTACTTAGAACTCCGAACTTGAGCTGTTTTCTGTTTCCCAAGAACCAAACATAAACATACATTTTTAAAAAAATTTCTATTCACTCTCCTCCTCACCCATGAAGCTCCCTCAACCATGTCTTAGGTCCATATACTCTTAGGTCAAGGGTGAAGAGCAACGTAACAGCTCAAGCCCACTACTAGCACATATTGCCTTTTTCGAGCCTTTCATTTCAGGTTTTCCCTCGAGATTTAAAATGTGTTTGCTAGAGAGAGGTTTTCATACCCTTATAAACAATGTTCTGTCTCCCTCTGTGGGATTTCACAATCCACCCCTCTCAGGAGTCCGACATACTTACTGATACATCCCTAATGACTGGCTCTAATACCATTTATAACAGTTTAAGTTCGATCCACATTGTTTGGAGGGGGAACAAAACATTCTTTATAAGGGTGTGGAAACCTCTCCTTAGCTAACACGTTTTAAAAACCGTAAGACTGAAGATAATACGTAACGGACTAAAGCGAACAATATCTACTAGCGGTGAATATGATCTCTCCCACAGGTCATTCTCTACCTAAAGAGGTAGCTCAGTAGGACCCACATTCCTTACTAGGGTGTGGAAAACTCTCCCTAACCGACACTTTAAAAACCGTGAGGCTGAATATAAACGACTTAGTGTGTCACTAATGATTCTAACTTGTGCAGGTTGGCAGGTAAAGTACAAGCTTGCATCCAGGCTTCTTCTCTAGTTGAATGGTAAGAACTCCTATCATTTTAAGGAAGAAATTAAGTGAATGTGACGCTGATAAGGTTCATATCTGAAAGAATTTCTGATTACTATATGATATTCACTTCAAAAAATGAATTGGGCCTGAGCCTGTTGAAGAAATTGCCCTTTTCCTGTTTATGAATTGGACAAATTGAGTATTATGCAACTTAAATGATTTGCTTCACTAATAATACCAATGTGAATTTTCTATGCAAAACAATTAATGAGGCTTAGTGATGCAATTTGAAATACTGAAAAGGACAAAAGTTTCCTTAATTTGGTATTTTTTTTTTCTTTAAATTAATTTGTCTGATATTTTTTTTTTATAAAATAAGCTATATAGTTTTATGATATCTTTTTTTATAAAATTATTTTTGTGGGGCTCATGTTCTTTCAACTTTCATCTCCCTAATTTTGGGGATTTAATCTATATATATATTTATATTAAATGATCCATTTATTATTTTCTTTTTACAATTTTATATTATATAATAAACACTTTTATCATTATTCTAATAGATTATTTAGCATAATTGAAATTCTTTAATTAAATAATTAAATAAATATAAATTCATTATTTTTAGTTTATGAGCTGTATAATGGTAAATTTTGGTAATTGGTTTTGTTAGAATGATTTTACTATTTTTATAGCAAAGTTATGTCTGTACTTATTTATTAATTGAAATGAAACAAAAAAAAAAAAAAAAAGCCTAAATAATTAGATAAAAATATATAATAAATTCCAATTTCACATTATTTGTTGGGTGCCAGCTTGGTCCAAGCTATTTATTGACAGCTTCAAAGTTTCTGGTTAAATAAATTTATTAATTTCTTTACAAGAAAAATGTATTAATGCAATTATTTTTTTATTTTGTTAAATTATAAGTTTATTTTTGTTCAATAGGGCAATAGTGTAGTTAATTGATGATACATTGATAGATTAATGAAAATTAATTAATATTACTATTTTATTAAAATTAATGTATAATTAATAGATAAACTGAGTTTAGCTTAGCGGTAATTACATGACTTTATTTAAAAATGGAATTTACAAATCTCAATAAGAATTTGTCTCCACAAATCGGGACATTTTAGGTCATTTTTCAACCTTCATCACATGTTTCATTATACTTTATCTGGGAATGATATATTCAGAGGAATACTCATAAATTAAGTAATAATTTTAATATCCTTTTTTAATTTTAATTTTTATTTCAACCATCAAATTTGGATTTTATTTATCATATTTTGTGGGGCTCCATGCTCATTGATTTATTTATTTACTCTTTAATGCAAGACATTTATGTTATTATATTCAATTTAAAATGGAATAATTTAATTAGTGTCCTTTTTGGAATGTGTTTCATCGATAAGAATGATACCTTCTTAATTACTTGTAATTTTGAATGTTCTTTTTTAATGATTTGTCAACTCAAATCAGTGACACTCCAATAAATACAATCGAGATTGTACGCTGCTCCAATGCTGTAACGTCTCACATTTAAGATTCGAGCCATCTAGATTCACATTTAAGATTCGACACTCTCTTATGATATAACTATGTTTACTTCTTGATAAATACTTTTAAGAGTGAAGATCTTTTCTTAAAAAAATTTATAAATGGTCACTCAACATAAAATCGCTCAAACCTCTTAACTTTCAAATGCTTATGATTGGCTTACCGAAAAAGAAAAGTGATAATTTTAGTATACATAGTAACCATCATTTTTTTTAAACTTTGTTTAACCATAATTTTTAAAAGAATGGATAGTTATTACATATATTAAAAAAGTATTCGGCCTATTTTTGAAAACTCAATCATAGAAATTTCAAAATTAAATGTGCTACATAGAATAACCTCCTAAAATAACTTAGGTTAGTCGATGAAGATAATTTTAGTTCTCACAAACAATTGAGTACTTAAAAATCTTATCCACACCAAGATTTGAAACAACGATGGACTTCGAGAGAAGCTTACTTTTTTAGAACAAAGTGTTATTATTTTTATTATTTTTAAATATTTAATAAAATAATAATAACAATAATAGAAGTAGAAAAGACCCTAATTTATTTATTTTTGGTCCAAATAGAAACAAAGTAGAAGTAGAGGCCAGAGGTTTAAATCTATATATTTTCTCGAAGTTTTATGAGTTGAACTTAAAAAAATATTTGAAAATTTGAGAAAAAATAGAATAATCACAGAACTTGAAACCATAAGTACGGAATAGGAAGAACTGCAGAGAAAGTATAAACAAAAGCAGAAGCAAAAATGGTGGAAAATACGTCCAAAAAGGACACTAATTAAATCCAATAGAGAGAAAACAGAGCAGCACCTTGTTTGGAACAAAAGCTCGTCCCCCCAGTTCTTCAAGAAACTTGAATCCACGGCCAACAACACAACGCCCCTGAAGCAAAAACAGAAGAGAAAAAAATGAAAGGGCTTTGGGGATTGGATTTGGTGGTGTGTAGTGCAGTAATCCGTGCATGAAAGATTAAAAGAAAAAAAAAGGCATTAACTTCCTCCCATTTAATGCCTTCACCTACGCTTTTCCCAATGCCAGAAAGCTGTAATTTCGGCCTTCAAGTCTCTTTTCTTTGGACACTTTTCTCTTCTTCTCTTCTTTCTCTGTTCTTCCTTTTCCTTTCATCAGTTCTCATGGATGCCTCTCGGAAGGAGAGGAACTTACAGCATTCTGAATTTCTTGGGATTTGAAAGAGAATGAAGTGAGTTTTTCTGGGTTTTTTTTTTTTGGATGTTCTTGAAGAAGATGAGTGGTTGGAGAGGTGGATTGTTTGTGGAATTGGTTGTTTTTGCAGATATGTGTCTGATGGTGTCTGGTTTAGGCTCTATGGCTTCTGTGGCTGTTTCTTATGGCGAGAAAGGGCCTGTTTTCTGTGGTTTAATGGCAGATGGGTCTCATCTTGTGAGCTGTTTTGGTTCAAATTCAGCCATAACTTACGGAACTCCTTCTCATTTCCCCTTCATTGGTCTCACTGCTGGTGATGGTTTTGTTTGTGGGCTTCTTTTGGATTCCAACCAGCCTTACTGTTGGGGAAGCAGTGGCTATGTTCAAATGGGTGTTCCTCAGCCCATGATCAAAGCCGCTCGATACCAGGAAATCAGTGCTGGTGATTACCATCTCTGTGGCCTCCGAGCACCGCTAACTGGAAGGCATAGGAACAACACGTCTTTTGTTGATTGTTGGGGCTACAACATGACGAGAACCTTTGTGTTCGATGGCCCGATTGAATCGATCTCGGCAGGGTCTGAGTTCAACTGTGGGCTGTTTTCTCTTAATAGAACTGTTTTGTGTTGGGGCGATGAGACGAGCAGCCGGGTCATCAGTTTGATACCTAAAGATATGAGGTTTCTAAAGATTGCTGCTGGTGGATATCATGTTTGTGGGATTCTAGAGGGCGCTAAGGCGAGGGCGTTCTGTTGGGGAAGGAGCTTAGACATTGAAGGAAGTGCAGACTTGGTTCCAATTGATCCATTAGACTCTGTTGTTGGGGGCAAGTTTCATGCTTGTGGGATCAAGAGCATGGACCGTGGTGTGATTTGTTGGGGCTTTACAGTCAAACCAAGCACTCCAGCACCGGATGGGATTAAAGTTTATGACATAGCAGCTGGAGATTACTTCACTTGTGGAATTCTAGCTGAGAAATCTCTCCTGCCTGTTTGCTGGGGTCTTGGATTTCCTAATTCTATACCCTTAGCTGTGTCGCCTGGAGTCTGTAAAGCAACTCCTTGTGCTCCTGGTTTCTTTGAACTAAGCCAAGACAGTGCTCGGTGCAAGTCACCGAGTTTTCGTGTGTGTATGCCCTGCAGTACTACATGCCCTCCTGAGATGTACCAAAAATTTGAATGCTCCTTAAAATCTGATAGACAATGTGAATATAACTGTTCACGTTGTTTTTCTTTCGAGTGTTCATCAAACTGTTCATCCATTAGTTCAAATGGTTTGATGGGGAAGAAAAATGAGAAGTTGTGGTCAATGCAGCTTCCAGCTCTGGTAGCAGAGGTTGCTTTTGCTCTGTTTTTGGTAGCTATTGTGTCGTTAACTGCGATCTTATACGTTCGGTATAAGTTACGGAGCTTCCATTGTTCGGAAAAGGAGTTGAAGTCTAAGAAGAACCAAGGGACTGCCTCTTCCTTCCAGAAGGAAAGCTACAAAATACGTCCTGACTTAGATGAGCTAAAGATAATGAGGGCTCGGATGTTCACTTACGAAGAGCTCGTGGGAGCGACGTGCGGGTTTAAGGAAGATTCAATGGTGGGAAAGGGAAGTTTCTCCTGTGTTTTCCGAGGTGTTTTAAACAACGGGACGGTTGTAGCAGTGAAACGAGCTATAATGTCTCACAACAAGCAGAAGAATGCAAAAGAGTTTCACACTGAACTTGACTTATTGTCAAGATTAAACCATGCTCATTTGCTTAATCTACTTGGTTATTGTGAAGAAAGTGGAGAGAGGCTTCTAGTTTATGAGTTCATGGCTCATGGTTCCTTATATCAGCATCTTCATGGCAAGAACAAGGCCTTGAAAGAGCAACTAGATTGGATAAGAAGGGTCACCATTGCAGTCCAAGCAGCAAGGGGAATTGAATACTTGCATGGCTATGCTTGTCCTCCCGTCATCCATCGGGACATCAAATCGTCAAACATTCTTATTGACGAGGAGCATAACGCTCGAGTAGCCGATTTTGGCTTGTCGTTGTTGGGGCCAGCGGATGGTAGCTCTCCATTAGCGGAGCTACCAGCGGGAACTCTTGGCTATCTTGATCCTGAATACTACAGACTTCACTACCTTACAACCAAGTCTGATGTCTATAGCTTTGGTGTTTTGCTACTCGAAATTCTCAGCGGTAGAAGAGCCATTGATATGCAGTATGAAGAAGGGAACATAGTAGAATGGGCAGTGCCGTTGATCAAATCTGGAGATATCTCTGCAGTTTTAGATCCGATACTAAAACCGCCATCCGATATCGAGGCCTTGAAGAAGATAGCAAACGTAGCTTGTACATGTGTGAGAATGAGGGCGAAGGAGAGGCCATCAATGGACAAAGTCACGACGGCATTGGAACGTGCTCTTGCCCAGTTAATGGGAAGTCCATATAATGAACAACCAATCTTACCAACGGAGGTGGTTTTAGGAAGCAGTAGACTGCATAAAAAGTCATCTCAAAGATCATTGAACCATTCCGTCTCCGAAACGGATATAGCAGAATCTGAGGATCAAAGGTTCGAGTTCAGAGCTCTGTCGTGGATTACATTCCCGAGCGTGACATCGTCCCAGCGGAGGAAATCCTCAGCTTCAGAAGCAGATGTTGATGGAAAGAATTTAGAAGGAAGAAATGGGGATGGATTGAAGAGTTTAGAGGAAGAGATTGAGCCTGCTTCCCCTCAGGAAAAGCTGTTCTTGGAGCACAATTTCTAAAGTGAGAACTCATTGAAAAACAAAGCAAAACCCAGAAGGGAAAATTCAAAAGCTTTGATTTTTATTCCAAATTCTATCTCTCAGTGATATGAAGGAAAAAGAATGAGATTCAACATGAAATTCTAAGCTGTTTCTTTTTTATTAATGGAAAATAAACTAATAAAGTTAAGTGTTGGAGCCATGAAAATGATGGCATTCCCAGCAAATACATACCTAGAAAAGTTGTGCTACGCACAAGGGCAAAGTCTCATGGTATGTGGGTGTGAGCCATCACAAGTAAGTATTGACTGTGCGCTACTATATAAGCATGCTCCTGGATTCTGAAGTTCATAAGATAAACAAAATGTGCTATAAAACTCGTATGTAAGTGCTATACATAAAGAACAGGACACCGTACCAGTTCTTCAGGAGCATTATAAGCAACTTCAGCAGGGTGATCAGGCCCAACACTTTCTATGCAACCTCCTTTGCAGCTCATGTATTTTTGTATTCTATCATACCCAAATTAGAAAAAACATGTTTTAATGGCTCCATAAGAAACGAAGGAAAAGAAAACAGCAGATTACTCACATGTCACAATGATTTAGGACCAAAATCTTGTTTGAGACGCATGATTGTCCATTTGACTTGCAAACTGAATCACATGATTCTCCTTGTCTATCATAGATTCAGTTCAGAAGAGTAAGATAGAGATCAAACAGTGTATAAAATAAACAAACATGGCTACCCTGACCTTCCAACAATGACATTGATGCCATTCAGTCTGAATTCTAGTTGTGTGCTGCTCACTCCTACGAAGTCCAAACTTTGGAAATAAATCATAAACATCACAGAATGCTTAAAGAAACTATAATGACTACATGGTTTGAATTCAGAAATCAGTAGCTAACCTGAAGAATATGATGGCAGGGAAAAGCAATGATGGTAATCACCGTGATAAGCATTTTCATGCACCTGAGAATTTGAAATTCAATCAAATATTTCAACTCTCTAAAGAAAGATAAAATGCAGTAACACAATGCAGGACACTTACAACACTCTCAGAATTATGACGACACCTCCCAGCACAGAAATCAAAGACACTGGCATATGTCCCTGCATCATTTACCATAGTTTCATATATTTAATCTCAGACTAAATTATGATCTCAAATCCACTCCAAGGGGAATGATTCCTTAAATGAAAAGTAAGCTTCACATGAATATTAATAGTAAAATACTCTTCCAAAACATTAACGGTGAGATCCCACGTTAGTTGGGACGGAGAACGAAACATTTTTTATAAGAGTGAGAAAATTTCTTCCTACAAACGTGTTTTAAAAACTTTGAAGAGAAGCCCGAAAGGGAAAACCCAAAGAGAATAATATGTGCTAGCGGTGGATTTGGGCCATTACAAATGATATCAGAGCCAGACATCGGGTGATGTACTAGAGAGGAGGCTGAGCCTCGAAGGGGATTAGACACGAGGTAGTGAACCAGCAAGGACGTTGGGTCTCAAAGGGAGGTGGATTGGGATCCCGCATCGATTGGAGAAGGAAATGATTGTCAACGAGAACATTGGACTTTGAAGGGGGTGGATTATAAGATCTCACATCAGTTGGGGAGGAGAATAAAATATTATTTATAAGTGTGTGGAAACCTCTCCCTAGCAATAGTATTTTAAAACCTTGAAGAAAAAGTCCAAAGAATACAAGATCTACTAGCGGTGGGCTTGAACTGTTACATTAATATATAGAGCGTTAGTCATCACCTGCCGTGGCTGGCTTGGAAATTTTGATTTTTAGTATTTGTTCTCCTTTTGTCTGCAACCATCATCATCCAAAAATGCACCAGTTTTTAGATTCCATAGCAAAAATGAAGCATAAGAAGAATCAGAAACCCATCATACCTTTGAAGGATTTAGGCAGCATGAAACACAATATTCATACGAATTGCAACATTGTGAAACAAGATTGCACCCACTGCAACGTGTAAAAAGAAAAAACAAACAATAAGGTAGCTTGACAGAGCTCTTACACTCCTCATGGGCCATTGGAGGGAGATTTATTTGGAAAAAAAGGTAAAAAAAAAAAAAAAAACTCACTGACAAGAAAATTTGTCCCCTTTGCCAAGGCAGCAATGAGATAGTGGATCAATAGATAAAGCATCACATACACGACCTGCAATGGAAGCTATATCCATTAGGTTCTGTGAGTTACTAGCAATTTCTAACAAAAGCATGTCTTCAATCGCAGAATATTATTCAGGGATTTTCAAGGTAACTGTAAAAAAAGAACGAAGACCTGAAGTAGCACTACGAGATAATGAAAGAAATATTTACCATTATCATCCGTCAGTAAATATCTTCCCTGAATAGTGCTCCTACATGTGTTCTTTACTGCTAAGCCTATATGATTCCTTCAATAAAAAAACAAGAAAAAGTGAACAAAATGGCACAGGAGCGTTGAGAAAACTAACGAAACTGAAGAGAAATACATTTTAGCAGGATTCAAAGATTCAAGAATCTGAACAGCAACTTTCTTCGTTTTTTTTTTAATTGTAATGGATGCAGAACAGTATGAAACGCCAAAATCTCAGAATGGGAATGGAAGGAATTAAAAACGGATAGTGGAAATTTTCACCTGATCGCAGAAATTCTTGAAGGAAAGAAGAGGAAAAATTGGAAGAATACGATCGATAAACTGAAACGATGCATTGATGTTCTGTTATCTGATCAATAATTAAAACTCAGAAATTAGAATCTTTTGAGAAGCCGGCATTTGATCGGATTCAGCACCTTCCCGCGTGTCGGATCTCTCCCCTCCGTTTTGATCGGTTTTAAAATGTCTATTTAAGTTCGGTTTAAGAAAAGAAGCATTTGAATCCTGTTAAGTTGTGATTGCTGACGTGGCGGGTTGGTTGGGTGATTGGGCATTGACGTTGCTGACGTGGTGGGTTGGTTGGGTGATTGGGCATTGACGTTGCTGACGTGGTGGGTTGGTTGGGTGATTGGGCATTGACGTGGCCGGTCTAACATTTGGACCTATGAAACGAGGAAGAGGCTGAGGAAGTATTTACTTCCGGATTCGCTTCTAAAAAATAGATGGAGACGGAATTCTTAAACCCATGGACCCATAGAATCTTAAAAGTAAAAGTGTTCATATGACTCAGAGAATAAACCATGAATCACTAAGATCTTAAAGTAGGAGTATTCATGACTTAACCGACGATTTAAAACTACTCAATTTAAAAGATTGAGTTGTTTGAGTCACCAACCAAATCAAACTAAAATTTAGACTAATCCAAAAGATTTTTACAACCCAACTCAACTGGAGAAGTGATACTTTGAAATTTTTATAACCCGACTTTAAGGAATCGAAATGCTGAAACTGACCGAAAAAGCGTGCTTGTCACTCATTTAAACTCTATTCTCATAGAGATAGAAGGCAAATATAATTACGCAGTTATATCTATATATAACATAAGATTTTATGCAATAAATACCAATCCCCCAGCAGAGAGTACAAGGTGCAACAACAGTGGAGCAAATCCATATAACAAACCATCCACACAACTCTGAACTCCAAATGTAAAAGTTACTCGAAATCTAAATTTTGTCGATATCTTCATCCTCGAACTCAAGATAGTCATCAGCACCGCCATCATCCTCATCATCGATACCTCCAGCAATACCCTCGTTGAGACGGGTGTTCTCAGGAAGTTCACCATATGCCTTCAACAGCCTTGCTTCATCGGGCATATACTTGAGGATAACATCAGCTTTGTCATCCTGGTAGTCGCGAAGACCGACAAGTATTATATCGCCAGCTGCAATCCAAACCTTTTTGTGCATCTTCCCCCGGATATGGCATAGACGCTTTGTCCCATCTATGCACGTCGCCTCACACCGACCATTCCCCAACATTCTGAGAACCTGGGCATACTCCTGACCATCTTCCTTGAAAACAAGCTCACGTTTCTCATCATCTGCTTCGTTCTTTCCTCTCTTCCTGTTCTTTCCTCCCTTTCCCTTGTTCTTCGGCATGTTTTCGGTTCTGTGTTACATTTGAAATGCAATATGAGCAGTTGCAATACCACCAACATACAGAGTCACGGTTCGTGCCATAAAGAAAATATGAGGTAAAACTCCAACATTGCACACTTGAAATATTTGGATTTAGATAATATAAATCAGTCTAAACTAAACAACTAGCATCAAGATAAACAGAATATAAACAGAAAGAAAGCAAAGAAATTACAAAACAATTGCACCAAACGTCCAAACAGAACTTACAAGAACAGGCAAGGCACCTATTTATCACTTTTGAGTCAGTAATGTTAGAAGTAAGCCCTTTTTCTTCCGGTATGCAATTGTTCAGAAAATTGAAGTCAACTCCCAAGCACCCACCACACACGATGAGATGAAGAAAACGAACAACTAATGATCAAATTTACAGCCATAAGACGATTGGTACCTTCAATACCTAGCTACTACAACTCAGGGGCGCAGACCAGAGTGACTCTGATAATATTCCACACATTCCATGTAAAGATGTCATAAATATACGATCATCAAGAATCAACAAATAAAGGAAATAATTAGGATAAAGATACTCTTGAACAGAAGTATTCATTCCAGCCACTAAAGCAGCAGCGAGAGAAAAAAAAATGTTCTCTAACATGAGCTCACGTTTGTCCCATCTATGCACGTCGCCTCACACCGACCATTCCCCAACATTCTGAGAACCTGGGCATACTCCTGACCATCTTCCTTGAAAACAAGCTCACGTTTCTCATCATCTGCTTCGTTCTTTCCTCTCTTCCTGTTCTTTCCTCCCTTTCCCTTGTTCTTCGGCATGTTTTCGGTTCTGTGTTACATTTGAAATGCAATATGAGCAGTTGCAATACCACCAACATACAGAGTCACGGTTCGTGCCATAAAGAAAATATGAGGTAAAACTCCAACTTTGCACACTTGAAATAATTTGGATTTAGATAATATAAATCAGTCTAAACTAAACAACTAGCATCAAGATAAACAGAATATAAACAGAAAGAAAGCAAAGAAATTACAAAACAATTGCACCAAACGTCCAAACAGAACTTACAAGAACAGGCAAGGCACCTATTTATCACTTTTGAGTCAGTAATGTTAGAAGTAAGCCCTTTTTCTTCCGGTATGCAATTGTTCAGAAAATTGAAGTCAACTCCCAAGCACCCACCACACACGATGAGATGAAGAAAACGAACAACTAATGATCAAATTTACAGCCATAAGACGATTGGTACCTTCAATACCTAGCTACTACAACTCAGGGGCGCAGACCAGAGTGACTCTGATAATATTCCACACATTCCATGTAAAGATGTCATAAATATACGATCATCAAGAATCAACAAATAAAGGAAATAATTAGGATAAAGATACTCTTGAACAGAAGTATTCATTCCAGCCACTAAAGCAGCAGCGAGAGAAAAAAAAATGTTTTCTAACATGAGCTGCGAAGAGCCATGTCGCAATTTGAATGTTCAATAACAATTTCAAACTGGGGCATCATCTTTCAGGTTCATGATTACTTTTCATCAAGATTACAAACCCCAAGATGAATCATTAGATACAAAAGTGTGGTATATTGTCCTGTCCAGCTATATACGTTTTGTTCTTCCTCTTCTCCCAAAATCATTAATTCCTATAATTTACATCATATAAGAGAAAAGATGCTCAAATTCTAGAAGCCACCATGGCACTAAAAAGGATCAGATCGTAGCAGTTAGAAGATATCTCTCTAATCACCTTGCTGGGTAG